CCGCCATCCCCGAGGAGGTGAGTGCCGGCGCCCCCTGCGTCCCCCGCGTCCCTGGGCTCGGCTGGCCGATGTTTATTTGGGCGAGAGAGGGGGCTCTCGGGGGCTCCGATGCTCTCGGCCACTTTCTCCTCTGGGCTCTGCGGGTGGGAGATGGGCATCCCCCCCTTGTGCCTCTCCGTCATGCAGCTCCTCGCTACGTAAACACACACAATGGCCCGGAGGGGGTTCCCTGGCTCGCACCCCGGCTTGCGCGATCCGGGCAGCGGTGGCTGAGCAGGAGGCTATCAGTAGGGGGCGAGACTCAGGCTGGGTCCGAGAAGGTCACGGCTGGCTGAAGGTAGCCAGCCAGCCGCGCGTCTCCGAGATGTTTTCGCTATTTCTTGCGGGGGGCGCCGGAGGGGGGCGGCGTCACCCAGGTGGAAGATGTAGGCTGGCTGCCGGGGCCGGGACCCCAGCCCGAGCTCCTGCGGTGACCGTTCTTATGACACGGTCCCGGGGATGATGGGGGCGCATCATTCTCTCTCGACTCTCCCTGGCTGTCCCCTTTTTCGGGCCGCTGCCCTCCTTCCACTTTTCTACTTGTTTGGGGATTTCGCTTCACCTATTTTACGCAGAGGTTGGTTGTGCTTCAGTCTTTACTTTTCCAACCCGAAAAGCCACCGTTCCTTTCTCCCTTTCACCCCAGCCTCAGGCCCCTGGTTCCTAATGTTTGTCGGTGCCCTGTCGCTGACTGGTGACCCCCCACCCCACCCCGCCCCGTTCCATTTCCATCTGCCGGCCAGTTGTCGGACCTGCCTGCCTTCTGACCTCAGCTTTTACTTAAGACCATTTTGCGCTTCTCTTACTTGGTCCTCTGGAGGCCCGCGACTTCATCTCACCGCTCCCTGACATTGTTATCTATTGTTATCTTCACAAATCCTTCTGGACGCTATGGAGCCACTTACTTTCTGAATCCTGAAGCTGTCAAGTTTCCATCAGGCTTCACTTGCAGTACTGGCACTTTTTGGTTCGTCTTCCATTGTGCAGTCACACCTCTTTATTTTTTCCTACCTTTTTTTTTTTTTTTTTTTAGGTTTGATTGCTTTCATTCTGTTGTCCTCCTTTTTGTCCCAGTTTTTTTCTTTCACTTTTTTCTTTTTAGTCCTCGCTTCTCTCTCAGCCTGTTTTGGCATTATTCAGCTTCTGATCACTTTGTCAAATTACTTTATTTACATTTTGTTTCGATTACGTAAAATTTGTTACATTTAGTATTTGGCATTTTATTGCATAAAATAATACACTTTATTATACTTTACAAAGAATTAGATAATATATGGTATAACTGTGCTCTACAATTATCGATTAGGTAACGTGACTTATTCTGTTGACTTTTCTCAAAGTTCTGTTTCCTTCCTCCCACTTACATTGTGTTTCCCAATTTTCATAACGTCTCATTCTTCTCTCTGTGCAGTTCTCTTTTTCCTGCTTCACCATCTTTACTTTGGAAATTCATCCGCTATGCTTGCTCTATTTAGTATCAGTTTGTTCACAATATTTCTTTTTCATCCTGTTACACCTTCACTATGCCCAAGATGTGTTCTGTACCATCATTTGATCTACTCTAAATATCTTATATTTGTTCTTCTGTCTTAAAATTACACCATTTACCACTTAGCAGTTTGCATTTCTGCTCAGATTCGTTTCCTTTAATATCTGTTCATTTTCTCCAACTTCTTGGATTTGTGGGAAGAGCTCTTCCCTTCTTCCATTTCCCACTTTATTCTCTTTTTCCCTCTCCCCAGTTACCATTCATTCTGCCTTGTTTCCTGGCTGTTGGTACTTAACTCGCTGAAGCTTCCTCTTATCTTCCCCACACCTCCACATTCCTTCTTATTTATAAACAGCTTTGTTCCGTTGACATGGAAATTTATTTTTAGGATACATTGTTTTTAATGGATAAATACTAGAGGTCACATCTGCTGTCTATTTTTTCCATGAATCGGATATGCCTTTGTCTTAAGAGGCACAGGTGCCTCTAGGCTTGCTTTACTCTGTAGTGATGTGTGTGGTTTTTTGTTGAATTGTATCTACAAGAATGAATAAATTAATGGGCATTGGTTATAAAATTGTAATTCTCTGATTATAACATCGTTTACATTGAGAACTTTGTTTCAGAGTTATTAGAACAGCTTGCAGTGACATAGGGAAGTTTTCGTTAAGTACAATCTCTGCTATCTTATTTGAAAGGGCCTTATGGTTTGAACTCTATCCTGTGAGGATTCTGATTCAGTAGGTGAGATCTAGGGCCACGAGTTTCTGTATTCAGTACATTTCTGTGGCAGTTCTCCTATAGCAGTCAGTGCTTGAGAACCTCTAGGCTAGATAAATTTAAGTTTAAATTGCCAATAATTGGAAAGCATATTAGTATCTCCTGAAACCATAAGGATACTTTAATTTTAGTGTTTCTCACTACCTCCTTCACCTAGGTTTTAATGTTTAATGATGAATGGGAGTTTTCCCTTTATATTTTTTATAGGAGCTGATAAAAAATATATTTGACTAAGGGAAGGATAAGTAATTAAAAATGGATCTTTTTTGAATGTAGATATCAGTGTTCGAGATGGTAGAATAAATTCCTCCCAGAAATAATTTTAAGTTTTAAGTTGACATTAATTCAGTGGAAACTGAATTGAACTCTCTTCCTTATATGCACTTAAAGAAATATAATTGCCAAGTGTATGGAAAGAAATGAAAAATTGTGCTTACGTAAAATGACATTCTAAAGATTTACCTTACCTGACAGATAAATACGATTTTTTTTTTTAAATGTTTCTCAGGGAAATTTCAACTGCACTAAAAATTTCTAATTACAGAGGGAAAGCACATTCATTATTGAAAAATTAGATATAAGTACAAAAAGTTTTTAAAAAATCATCTATAATCTTGCCACTTAAGGTATAATTACATAAACTAAAAATTTTGGTGTATGTGTATACATTTACTCTTTATGCTTGTATAATACAATGTATTTGGCTTTATAATATTTTTTAACTTAATATAGTGAAACATTTTGCATATTAGATATACTGTGATTTTTTTAAACTAGTATTTTTTTGGTATTAGGTTGTTTCTGAATTTTTCACTCTTTTCAAACATCTTGAACATTAAATGTAGATTTTAGTTTTGAAAATTATGTTGGGAAGTGAACAAATTTCATGTTCTATATTTGTAAGTATTACTTTGTAGATTCTAAGAATAGAATATTCTGGTAAATGACAAGAGCTTATTAAATATTTACCTAATGAATGTGCTTTTACTTTTGGCATGAAACGTTTACTTCTGACCATTTATATAGTCCCCTAATGTTTCTTTCTTATGACCATATGGTAAAATAAATACATCTATTGAAAAAATATGTGTTGTAGTAACAGGGTATGATATTTATTAACTATTCTTGTGCTATGTGTCTGTAGAAGGGAGCATCTTACGGTTGTGTTACAATTAAAATTGTATTGTTTTAAGATCTGTTATTGCCAATCTTAGCTGAGCAGTGAAATTATAATAATGCATTGACTAAGCAGTATTCTTGGGTGGAATCTCCTTTATAATATGGTCCACTGTATTAAAACACATCTTTGTGAACCATGCCAAACCAGGTTGGATTACCTCATACTCTTAGTAAGTGGAAGTCCCACTAAGGCATGTGCTTCTGCAGTTTCCAGCTTTTGCTGTTAATACTTGTCTGGATATATTCATAGGTGGACAAAACATTCCTGTTAGGCAAAACTATAAAATAGCTGTGTCCTTGGTGTTTCTAGTGTTCCTTTATGTACTCTTTCTCGTTTAACGAAGTCCCTCCTTTAGGCATCCACTCACTTCTTCTGATATCCATCACTTATGTGCTGCTTATTAAAGGATTTGATTGTTAGTAAACAGATAAGAAAGGAACATTGGAACTGGGTGCTTGAATCCCCGAATGTAGTAAACCTGAGAGCAAACCTGATTTACTTGTGTTTGGATAATAGGCCAGAAAAGTTGTAATAGGGTAACCGGCTAGAGAAGTCTGACTTTTCTCAATTCTCTATCCTTTGTTTTCCTGATTAGGTTGAATTAGGATCCCATCATAACAACTGGAAATCTATGTTCTGTGAGTGGTGGGGAAAAGAGGGAAGAAGCAGGTTAAATTTTTTTTTTTTTTAGTATTTTTAAAATCTGATGCTTATTTTGTTCTTCCTTTGCGGTCATAGTTTTTCTCCTGTAGAATTGCAAAAGTGCGTTTTGTTTCCTTTGACATCTCAATATTAATTTATCTGAGTACTCAGTGAACATTGTGTGTCGTAATCCCCCTTTTTAAATGAAATCCAGTATGTTCCTTTGCTTCCTATATTTCTGCCTCAAAGTGTCATTGACATAGCCTGTATTGCAAGTAGCTTGTATTGTCAGTACTTTTACTGGATTTTTGTCTTCATCAGAAGTTGAATTGTTTTAAGTTCTTTACTCATTCTCATTGTCTATTTTACCTACCTACATTGGTTATTCTGTAAAATCAGGATCAGCAATAGTTATAGAACTTCTGAATTCAAAATAGGTGTAAAGTACGTTTGCATAGTCACAATGTTATAGATCTTAATCTTAATACTATAAGAACCGAAAATATAGCCTCATTTGTTCCATTTCTTCCTTAAACATTCAGTGGAGGTACTGACATCTTCTGAGCGGTAGTTTTTATTTTTCAGTTTCTTTTGGCTACCGACCTAATTTATTGTCATACTTAATTAACATGATAATCAGAAGAAACTTTTAATCCAAACCCCACCGTAGCATTAAGCAATTATTTTTTTTTCTCCTTTCTACCCTCTGAGGTTATTTTGGTTTCCATGTTTTCTCTTGGGCTTAAAAAAAACTATTATTATTGTTCTTTTTCATATCAAGACTATGCATATAAGGAGGGAAATTTATGCCCAGTGATATATTCCTTTCCGGGTCATAGAAATGCCCTCAACACCAAATATAAAAATCGCTCTGAACTAAATTAACT